CGTTTTACTTGGCCAAAATTTTTTTATGATAAATCCATCTCTCAACAACCAAAATGTTCGTGTTCCGGACATGAACATCTAACGAGCATTCTCTCACAAAAAGGTGCTATAGGAACAGTAAAATAATGTTATTTGAAGAAGTCACTGGTAATAGTAAGGCGCTCGTGATTTCTTCGGTGCCGGCGTGAAAATTGAACAAGACCAACACTCAAAGAGCGTACTGATAGACGTAATGATACTGATCCGACTACATTTCCTAAAATTCCCCATAGTCCTTCCAGCAGGACACTACTCCAGCCCACAGAGCCAAGCTTGCCCGCGAGTGGTGCCGACGACAGCCGTCCGACTTCATCGGTAAAAGTGAAGGCCATCCTATTTTCCAGAACTTGACTCACTTAAGTCCCCCGTATGGTTCCTGCTTGGAAGAGGACCCATCGAGTTTGCAGCCCCAGTTTGGAGTCCCAGAAAGTAAGAATGAAGAGAAGCTGGGAAGAAACGGAGAAGGATACGTGCGTGCCACATGCGATCAGGTCAAAGCAAACTTTGGGCCTCTACCTGCGCTAACGGGTATTTTGAAATGTGGTTGTAGCGCGCTGTAGCAAATGGTGTTAGTTAACGTGCATAGAAATTCCATCGTATTTCGCAGCTGAGAAGCTTCAAATGTATTGCTATGAATTGACGCCAATAATTTTGGGGACACCCTGTATACGAGTATGTGCACGACCCCTCATCTACGATATAGTCATTTAGAGGAATATTATACTATTAGAATAAGATAGTTCTCTCTGAATTCGAACGCTGAAGCGCTTTGGGAGCGCTTGATATATTCATTCGAGCATATTCGTCAGATTGACCGCAGCCCGTCTACCTCGATAAAGACCCCTTCCACTATGAGAATTTGACTACCCTTCTTTGGTTGACTGCCCCTAGCCATTCTGGACAACCAACTGTTCCAAACAGAATTGTAGATTTTTGATCTCGACCTTGCACAACGCTGTTCAAACTCAGCCCAAGCCGGCGATTTGACCACATCCCCTTCGTAATCTCGGATCACTTTTAGCTCGCATTCTAGAGCGGTTCTGGACATGGTTATAGATTTTCGATCTTACTCCCGTCAACATTGGCACAAATCCCGCCTTTTTAGGAAACTTACCAGATTTCTAAGAATGGATTAATAGCATGAATGGTAAGTACACGTCCACCATTCATGCTTGCGTTTTTCCGCCCAATATCATTTTGAAACAACCCATTACTAGCTTATTATATCACCCTATTTCCGTTTCAATACGCAAGTAATTAGCCATCAAGTTTCGACATTATTGTAAAAGTGAAGACCGTGCAAAACTTCACTGTGTTTGGAACATTGTTTCTTCACAATTATGTCGATAAGACAGGACCGACAAAGGATAACAACGTGTGAGTCAGTCTGATTGTGCCACCCCCACTAATTCGACATTGCTGGGGCTAATAAGTAGAGGAAGCAGAATACTAGAAGAGCCAGAACGGATTCCTTTGAAGCTTACCCGAGGCTGCTAAGGTGAACTATTTCTAGTGTACAAAAAATTGACGTCGGCAGTTACGTATTTCCACCAGAAAGGTCATTATAGGAAGACGAACTATTTGGAACACAGTTAACATTGAGTTTGAGCGCCACAGAAGCCGACTCAGAAAAAGATACAATAAGGCAAGGGAGCAAGCCAGTAAAGTCACCAGTTTTGACGAGTTTCTGAAGGCTGTGCTTGTGAAAATCGTTGTGGTCATTGTACCAACGCCAAAGAAATCCAGTTTCGGCAAAGGAGAACCTATAAGAATCCAAAAGAAAAAGACACAAGATTGCGAGAAGATTTAAGTAGCAGTACCTTCTTTCGGGATGTTTCTGTAACTCGTCGATTACGGTATTAAAGATGTATTGCACTCCAACTGGAACAAGGGATGGCTTCGCTGAAATACATAACTTAAATATCTTTCCAGTATACCCCTAGCCTAACTTTTTGAGGGATATGGCGGGGCATTCAATCTTTTTCTGAGATGTTTAACAATGAAAAG